AAAAAAAAAAAAAAAAAAAAAAAAAATCAAAAATCAAAAAACAAGCTTATCAGGACAAAAGAGAATGATCATAATATATTATACAAGAGATTCGTGACGGTCATAGCAGAGGAAGGAGAAAGCCTCACGACGGGTGAGAAGGACGAATTAGGCGTGAAAAGCTTCGGCTCCCTTGTTGTGTCGCCACATCCCATTGGGGAGCACGTTCTGTTTCACCATGGCCAGCTCCTTCTGGAGGGCCTTGTTCTCCTCCTGCAGCTCCTGCATAAAGGCGATCGCATTGGTGAGGATCTCGGACTTCTTCAGCGACGCCGACCCGCCCTTGGTCGGCTTCTGGATGCCGCCGCTCATGGCCTTCTCCAGGGCCACGAACTTGGCGTTCATGTTGGTGCGGTACCGCTTCTCGATGATGTTGTGGGCGGCCCGCTTGGCGGCGTTGCGGCCCGTGGCCGTGTTGGCCGGGCCGGTGCTGGCGTTGGAGTCCCCGGACATGCTGCGTGTCGTTTTGCGGGTGGTGGTGACCGGGGACGAGGGGGCGGGGAGAGGAGACACGCTGGCAGCGGGGTAGTCCTGCGGTGTAATCTCGGGACTGGACGACCATCTCGGCACCAATTCGTCGCGGGCCTTCTGCTGCTGGGTTGCAGCTGCAGTCTTGCGGCGACTGGCACTCTTCGCAGATCTCGAGGCAGGCTTGGGCAACTCCATGGGCATCGAGTCCAGAGGAGAGACACGGCAGGTGGGGGACCACGACTGATCGTCACTTTCCAGGTCCTATCGATGGGATGTTAGTCTCCTAGACTCTTGAGATTTTCGCTGTCGATTAACATACCGAAGAAAGAGAGCCGCAGGAGGCAGCATCTTCGCCAGAGTGGTTGGAGATCGTGAAGCCACTAATGTCGGGAGGCGGGGCGAAGAAGTCGGTGGGAAAATCCTTGGGATCCAGAGTCATCATGTCATTGGACATCTCCAAGGGGAAGGTCTCGGGGATCATCGTGTTCAAGGAGAACAGATCAATCGCGCTGTCGTAGTTCCAGTTGGCCGTCAATGGGTCGGGACCCTTGGAGAACGAGTCGTGGGGACGAGAAAGTGGACTTGGTTGACTCAAGAACATCCGTTCGTCCTCCGGTAATGTGAAAGTTTCGGGTCTGGTGTATGCCATTGTTTGTTGTTGGTGTGTCTTCGTGGAGATTGGGAAGACAGGTGATTGCGAGGTAGATCGGTGTAGGTAGTCGACGATGAGACACAACAGATATCAAAGTCGAGTGGCAAATATTTGCAGATTGGATTGTAGTATGTAGGAAGCTTCTGAATATAGAACCATGGATCTGAAGGATCATGAACAGAGAGGCGCTCGGGGAGGGGCTCTATATAAAGGCAGATGAGAATTTCAGGAGAAGCCGGTGTTGAAAACCGATCCCTAGACCAACCGAAGCCAATGATGTAATGGCAGGTAAAAAGAACCACAACAATTGGCAAAAAAAAAAATTATATTTCCAGAAAAAATAAATTAATATTATTCAGGATGAAGAAAAGAGAGGGGAAGAGAAAAAAAAAAGACGAGGCAGAGAACGCAGTGACCAGTCCTGTCAAACCGATTATTGCACAGGGCCGGTGAAGCACAGCCGAGATCACCCCAGCCGGATGCAGAGCATCCATTCTTCCAGACTGACTGACGGACTGACTGACTTGACAAGGTTGATGAGGGAATGACTGATTTGACTGACTTGACTGACTTCGACTCGGCCGGCTCCGAAAGACAGCCGTCCGTCGGATCATCCATTGACACGCAGGGCAAAGTTCAGCAGTACCTCAGTCGGCAGTGAATTCCCCATAGTCTATTGAGGTCACTGGTACGGGACAATTCTGTGACGGATCTGGCAGACAGCGACGGCAATGGCCGCCGTCGCACTGAGACGGAAGGCAAACAACTCAGGGCTAAGGTATCCTTACTACAGTACTTTGTACTAGGTGACTTACCTCATCAGGAGTGAGTCCTTTGCCTCGAGGCTGTGTGTGTACGTGTTAGTATTCAGTAGTCTATGTGAGTGAGTGAGTGACTATCTGGACGGTAGACTGACTGACTGACTGTGGAGGAGGGGGAGAAAGGGAGGGGAGAAGGAGGGAGGGATCGGGTGAAAGTGGATCGATCGATGATGCACAACCGTTGAAACTTCTCAGCTCCAAGTGGGCGACAAAAGGGGGATCTAGACCTGATTGGTATCCATGGGAAACCTCGGGTGGACCCGTGATCGCCTAAAGGGGCAAAGGTGGTTCTGCCAAGTTGTCCGGCGGCCGAGTCTCGGGTCCGAACAATCGTTGTTCGGCCGGAGGGCAAACTGTTTGGAATACCTACGTGCACTCGTGCAGTGCAGTGCAGTCCATGCACGCACTGTAAGTTACTGTTCACAGAGTATCAGAATGGCAGATTCTGCGTGCAGACTGCAGACGCAACGTTGCAGGGGAACGAGCATGCAGCGGCGGAATTGATTTTTTCCCCGAGTCCTGGTTAGGTTGTCTTGGATTGATGCACTGAAATCGTGTCTCTTGCCCCTTTGAGGTGATTTTACCCGTCATCACAACAGAGTCGATCTGAGGGCTGATGCAGAATCTTTCCTTCTCCGTTATCACGGCAAGCCCGTCATAATCCACGATGCTGCGACCTGGCACGTAGCTCGGTAGTTGTCAAAGGGATCATGTTGAATGCTCTTCCGTAGTCATGCCTTCGGATTCAAGGACATCCCCGGCGGAAATGGGCCGCAACAACCCGTTCTGCTTCGTTCTTTGCCCGAGAGGGTGCTGTGATACGTACAACTACACGAAGCCTTCAGTCCCAGTCCGGATTGCAAGGCGATCTGTACGGAGCAGGATGGATGGAAATCTCGACTAATCCGAAACCCCCTCGTACTTCGTTCTCTTCGCCTACACGAGTCGAGAACCGATCTGTATCACATTGGCAGGATAATATATCGATCTATCCACCAATGGTGAGGCTAACATTGACAATTCGCCCCTGCGGTGCTTTTGTCCCTAGTCCGGTGCCCAACTGGTCGAGGTACCTAAGGTACTGGCTGTACCTAGTTAGGATTCTCTCCCTACCCTTCGTTTTCTGCCTGCGTAGTCTTCAATGATGACCCATTATTGTCGTGGAAACATCCTTATGTCCATGGTGGAATATATAATGCTATTCCTATCTTGTTATTTCATCCGATTTCTCTTTCAAGCGAATGAGACTCGAGATGATTGAGCATTATTCTTCCGGGCGGGAATCAACTCCTGATTTAGATCACGGGGCACACAGACCAAGGCAAGTGGATCGGTAACCGTCCGGGTGGAGCAAGTCTAGAGTCTAGACAAGATGGCTGCCTTTATGACCAGCATGTTATACCTTCGGTTCAGACACACACACACACACCCATAAACGCGCGCACGCACAAAAACACAGCCGAGGAGCGGAGTCAGCGGAAGATTCATATCGATTGTCTGTGCTCGATGACATTAAAGACCTTGTCTATGCTCTGCATTGTTCCTCATCTTGCCCTTCCTAGTGACATAATGATAAGCAGCCCGATGATGAATGTGGTGTCAGGGTGGATTGCAGTGACGTCTCGGAAGTCCCGAGTCGGAAATCATTATGGATGACGGACTGCTAGTATCTTAGTGACCCCCTCCTGCCAGATCCTGATTAGAACTCTGAGAGAGAGGGGCTCGGCTCCATTCGTGCGGCAAGGTACCAAGTCCCGTGCCTACGCATCGAACTCGTCACTTTTGACAGTTTTACTCCGGAACCACCAACTCGGCATGGACCATACATAGAAGAATTAATTAGTTCAAACATTGCTTAATCTGGTTAAGTTAGGTAAGCTCAGCCATAGACTGAATTTGGAACTAAGCAAGCAAGCTATCCAACTAAAGCTCAATTGACGAATGAATCGAGCTCGAAATCTCCGGCATGCAACACGGCCCCTCCCCAGCAGTGCGGACGGACGCTAGTAAATTTTTCGGCATCCAGCACTGGAGAAATAGCCTTGTCGAGTTAGAGTAAGGTTCAGGTCCCTCCACAGCGGATACGCCTTCACTAAGGTAGCCAGGCGGACCGGCTGCCGGATCCCAAGGGTTTGTTGCGATGCCACCCAGTGGTGTGATCCGGCATCTTCAGAACCCTTGAAGGTTCCTCGTTAGTTTCCGACTCCCCTCCTCCCCTTCCCAAATCTGTGACGTGAGACCCCCAACCAAAATTGCAGCCTCATTATTTTCGTCCCCGTCGGAAGAAACCGTCAACCTTGTCTGGAGAACAGAGCCAACGTTGTCCCAATCTGATACTATTGTCCGAACTGCCTGGTCGCCTCGTTCCCGTGGCTCAGATGTCATGTTACCAGCAGCTGACTAGTTAGTATCATGTCCCTTCGGTTCAGGTGCTTCCGGCACACGAGATGGTCATGATACGAGATGAAAGGCAGAGGCATCGTTTTTGAGCATACATTATCCCCCTTTGGAGAATCATGATAACTACTTAGTAGTTACTGACCACAATTTTCTTGATCCGGACGAAACTCGGATATGTCAGTCTGGATGTCAGCCCTATGCCTCTCTGCTACCACTCACAGGCCACACAAAACCTATTCCAGAATTATGCGCTGCGTCATTGACCAGTGCTACTCGGGCCCTTAGCGGCAGGACAAGGTTAGACTTTAGCTTCACAACGCCAGCCCAGAACGGTAACCCCGCAGTGCAGCCACCCGATTTGTTCTCTGGCTGATCTTATTACAGAGTTTAATCGACTAGGCACGGGAATGGGTATGAGATCAGAGGCAGCTGCAAGATCACCGCCAGCAGATCCAATCTCGAGATCTCAGCAGCTTGTCTCGGGCTCGTCTTTGACCTCAGTCTGCATCCAGCCAGCTGGTGCTTAGGCAAGACAGGTGAAGTCAGACAGTGGCCCGGAATTCTTCTCAGGGCCGGGATCATGCCTCACCTCCCACCTAGAGGGCTAGAGCTAGGCTACGTTTCGACATCTGCAAGCCTCGACCGTGTTCGAGTTCCACAAGCACTGACCATCACCAGATTTAGACCCGCGGGTCCGGTCCGGACTGCCTAACGCCTATTCTCTACGCGTTAGATCTGCCGTGCAGGTCAGCGCACTCCGGCTCTGGACCACCCGACGGCTGGTGTTGACGTGGGGGTAGTGCCGTGACAAGCTGCCGGAAGAGATTATTCCCGCCTGACGGCAAAGGCGGTCGGATGTTGTTCGCGGGGTAGGGGGGAGCCGGGGGAGGATCCTCGACCCTGCAAGCACGTCACGAGCCCACAGGGGGGTCACATCCTGATAAACTCTGTATCCTGTCTGCAGGGTCAAGTGCCGACCGAGAAGAATATCGGCAAGTCTCGTCGCCGTCGCGGGTAGCGATCCAGGGACCGAATCTTACCCGCCATTTACCCCGCTATGCGGCATTCGAGCGGTCATTATGTGCGTCATCGAGATTCTTGCGAGAAATATGATTCTATTTTAATTTGAAGAATGATCGCTAGTACCTGCGATCAGCCAGCGAGACGCCACTATCATACAAAGCCTTGACCGTGGTCTCGAAGCTTTCCGGCTCGCGACCCAGGATTTGGCCCAGGAGCGGCGAGACGACAGCCGTTTCCCCGCGCCGAATAGCATCCCATGCCGTTGCCCACTCCCTCGTCAGATCAATCCCATGATAAAAGAACTTCTTCCCATGCTGCGGCAGCTTGACATAGTCATCCATGGAGATCTCCCGGACCTTGAGGGGTTTCCCGACCAGGCGACCCAGGATCTCGACCGTCTCCCGCAGCGAGATCTCCCGCGGGCCCGAGAGCAGCAGCACGCGGTTCAGGTACGGGAACTCGCGCGGGCTTTTCGTGTAATCGACGACGAGCTTCGCCGTGGCTTCGCCCAGCTCGTCGCGCTTCACCCAGGTCACCCCGGGCTTGTCGCCGGCATGCGGGATCGCCACCTCATCCGCCGGGTGGTGGGGATCGAACCAGCTCGTGTAGAGCGGGAACGACTCCGAGTAGATCCCCTCCCGCACCGCCGTATAGGTAAATTGAGTACTGGATGATGAGGATTGTAACTCCGCCAGATACCGTTCCGTCTTGAGGTGCGCCTTCATCACGTGCGCCACGCTGCTCGTCTCCAGATCCCCCGCAAACCCCAGCGATGAGTAGAAGATGTGCTTCACGCCGCTACGCCGCGCCGCGTCGACGGCGTGTTTATGTGCCTGTCTCGGCCTTTAGCTTAGATTTTTCAGGACTTGTCTATGTAGGAAGCAAATTTTAACATACCTCGAACCGAAACTGGATCTCAATCGACGCATAGGAAATCAACAGCAGCACATCGACCCCGTCGAAGACCCGGTCCAGGGTGCTCGGCTCCTCGTAGTCGGCCCGGCGGACGGTCGCCCCCGCGCGGGCCAGCTCGGCCAGGTGGTTGTTGTCCGGCTTCCGCGCCACGAGGATCAAATCGGACGCCGGAACGAGCTTGACGAGATGGTTGATGGTGCTGGTGCCCAGGGCGCCGGCGGCGGGGAAGACTCCGATCGTGGGCATTCTTAGGGGGAGGTGTCGATGCGATGACGTAATGCGGCGCGGGTGCCTTTGATGGTGTTGAGAATGATGAGGGACTAGAGGATGCCCTTCACAAGGATGAGCTTGAAGCAGGTCTTTGGAGTCCTGTAGGGTTTATATCAACCAGGTAAATAGGTTTGTCGAAACTGCTTTTCCCTGAGGCGTGGGTGAAATCCTGTTATCTTGTTGTTTCGGGAAAGCGGGTGCCAAGATGTCAAAAAGGGTTGGACTTGCTGGGGATCGCTGAGCAGCTTACAAATCAGTCTTTTTGCGAACCTTTGGTAACTTATAGGTGGGATCTTTAGCAAATACTTGGGTTGCGATCTCTTTCGGTGGGTTTCGTGTCGACGCTGCGATTATGAAGACTACCTAGTTTATCTGCGGGGAGCAGGCCAGATGTGCACTGTACCCCTTCTCCATGCGGGAATATATTTTGGTCCGGCGTTGATGCACTACCGGGATTAGCAGTTGCTACTTGTGTGGATCTTGGCAGACTTGTCCAGGGACAAGAATGCTTGAGGACAGTGAGAAGTTATCTAATTATATACTTTCTCCTCAAACGACAATCAGACGCGGTTTGTACTGTATAGTGCAATTTCAAGTATGTAAGCATGACTGTCTACATTCGAGTTCACTAGCACGCTCAGTAAACGGCCAGCCAACCATCTGCAACCAGCCAAAACACCCATAACTACCTAGTACCTAGTACCTACGGAAGACATAACTTCGCAATGCTCCGAAGTCACCGTTCACATTGATCCTCATAGCTCTCAACAGCATTCCCACTCTGCAGTGACGAAATCCCAAGACCCGAATCCACTTCTCAGGACGCGCACACCGCCAGTTATGCCGACCATGATGAGATCGTGCTGTCGGCCCGGCAGAACTGCCTAGAAGCGCAGAAGCCGGTGAGCTATAGTCTTTGAGTATTATTGTTGTTCCAGAACTGTCTCTGCTGGCTGTTACCTACTTTGAGGTAGCTCAAGTTTATAAGAAAAGTTCTTGGTAAGGTTCCCATACTACAGAATGCGCTAGTCCTGAAAAGGGGGATTCGAGATGGGGACCATGGTTTTCGGGTGTCGATCTACGTACGTATTGCTAGGTATGGATCTTGAATGGGGGATGATCGATGCTTGGTTTGTGTTGTGTACTGGTCCAGTGCTCGGACAAAGCTTGAGGTAGTTTTTCAAGCTATGAGACTCGTTTCGCTGCGGTAGTGACTTATCTGGGGTTATGCCTGTAGAATTTTCCTATGGGTTATGACCGAGGAACACCATAGCTGCTGCCCCATGCCACACACTCGATGGGGCCGAGTGTAGACAAATATGGAATCAAGAGAGAACCCGGTGGAACACAGCGCCTGATAGAAGTTGCAATACTCTGTGTCCGGGCCAGCATCTGCGATATACCCACGACTCGCTCATCGAGGGCAACGTACGCTTCAATGTATCCCATCGTCGACGAGCCCTCAACCCTCGAACCGCCCTACCTACCAACCTTAACATCCCATGTAATGAATTAATGTACGCTGGCATATACCAATTAGCATGCACATAAGCCCAGAAACCCTCACCCTAACAAATACAACAACTTACCCCCACGGCATCACGTGGCATCTCCTACCACCCAAGAACCACGGACCCAATATAGATCCCCCAAAACCACCACCCCGATCATCTGAAGCTAGGTCATAGCTCCCTCCAGCTTCTTCCCAGTAATGCCCCTATCCTACCCATCCCATTCCATCCCTCGCACAAGCCACAGACCCACCGACCCTTCCGCATCCACCCGGAGAACTATTCCGGGGTGGGTGGTCGATCATACGACCCTGAGGTCAGGTTCCCGATCGGAGAGCTCCGTACCGTATCCACATGGCTACACGGCTACACAGCTACGGCTGCACTCCCTAACGGTCTTTGTGCTCCGCCGCGTCTTACAGCTGGGACTGGGGTTTTGGGTGTGGCGCTGTTGTTGTGAAGTTAAATGCGGTGGGTAGTATGGGCCGATCTGGATTGGGGGTGTGCTAAAGATGGAGGGGTGGGGCGATCCGCTTGCATGATTTGCATTGGTTGCTGCAGGGATGCTGGGTTTGTATCCCGGGAGTGGGATGGGGGTAGGGTTGTGGTGGCATTTGGGGCTTGGTTCTGATGGGTCATGGGCATGGGTGGTGGGTGCTGTGCCTGGCTGCTGACTATAGGGGGCTGGCGTGTGTAGATTGGGTATTTGGGTGGTGTTTGTTTGAGGGGATGTGTGGTACAGTAGGTAAATTGAACATGGATAATGCTGTACTCATGAAGGGATGAACGGTGGTGAAGAGAATGAGGGCTTCTGGCGAGGGATGGTGATTTTTGATAAATGGAATCTAAAAGAGATACCACGATGCGAGGGCTGCTAGTCCGACGAGAGTGGCTATTTCCCGGGCTTGGGAATGGGCTATGTCGGCACTGTTGGGGGATTGGGTTTGTGCGGGTGTGGTGGATAGGGCTGTGGATGAGGAAGATGATGAGGAGGAGGAGGAGGAGGAGGATATGCTCGATGCTGAGCTTGCATTGGTTGCTCCTGTCGCTGCAGACGTTGAGCCCGTCTGCGATAATCTGCTGGATGAGGTGGAGGATGGGAGGGCGGTGGTTGGTTCCGAGGTCGATTTGGTTTGTGCTGAAGGTGGTGTAGTACGCGTTGCACTTGACGCGGTGGTGGACGAAGTCGATAAAGAAGTTGTCGCGGCTGATACGCTAGCTGTCGAGTCGCTCAAGGTGATAGTGCTGTAAGGAGTGTGGACGGTGATGCGGGTGGCTTCGCCGGTGCAGCCTCTGGGATATCAGGTTAAGTTGATACGTGTCGGCGGAGTGACTAGTGAACGAGGCATACCCGACGAAGTTGTCACAGCATCCGATGAAAACATCGCCGTCGAACTGGCACCGCGCGCCCAGGTCGCATCCAACTGTTGCGTCGGTCAGTCATCCATAGTCCTATGCGCAGCTAGAGGACTGCTCATTGAGGGATGGGATCTTACATCCGCCTTGGTCCAGACCACAACAGTTCCAGGAGCACCCGTCACCACAGCAGCTGCCTACAATGCATCGGGTGCCGTCCGAGCAGACTTCCCTCTTCACAAGGCTGCCTGCCTCAGGCGGCGAGGTATCTCGTTTCAGGACAGCGGGCGAGAGGTTGGCGGTGGCCATGCATTGTTGGAGAGATCCGAGTGTTGCGAGAGCAACAAGACCTATGCTGGTGAACATGCTGGTAACAACATCAAGTAACATTAGAGACATGCTCAATCGAAGCTCAGGGCGGTCGCATGTAACGAATTGTTTATATGATGTCTATATAGCACTACAAGAAGCCGCTGGCCTCCATGTCATACGGCGACCATGAGCCATCTCGTATTCCCATTCTTGGCACTGCTGATCAATGGGTGAACATGGTGGTTAGTTCCAACATTTGAGTTTTGATCAATCTTCCCGCCTTTTCTCATGTGCTCAATCATTGTCACTTTTGGTGTGGACTGTGCCATGGCTTGACCATGTGAATGGCACTGGGTGTCGGGGCATGTGGCTTGAGGGAAGCGGGATGTGGTGTCTTGGGGAGAAGTTGGGCGGAGAGTAGCTTGAGTTGTGGAAAGACCCGACCTTAGTAGTCCGAGCCCAAGACCTGTGACTCACACCGTAGATTGATGATGGGTGCGTAGCACTGGTGGTGTTCTGATAAAGGGTGAGGCTTCCGCCGTCACTCCTTCTGGTCATCATTCCATGACTGGTCCTTTGCAGTGGTATACTCTGGACCTGAGAGCTCACCTAAACGAGATATTAGCGTTGAATATACAACAGTTGGTGTTATAAATACATCTGCACAGGTTCTCCTGGTCTCCGTTGTTCAATTGGGTCAACATACTTCAGTGAACCTAGCTGAACCGCGGTGGAAATGGCTCAGGCCTGAAGTCTAGTGTTCTATAACAAAGGAACCAGTGACTGAGATAAGTGATGGGTTCACACTTCGAGCCATCGCAGTGCAGAGACAAGATTATTGTTTGATTGACGAAATGTCGAGGTGGCCAGGGGCTTTTGTCAGGCCCACTGCTGCTTTGAAACGCTAAGGGCAGACAGGGACCCTCAGTAATCGCCAAGCGTGAAAACATCCCGCTATCCTCGGTGTTTTGGACCTATCATCCAGCTCGTTTGTGCTGCAACCCAAAACCGCCATTCCGGTGTCGGATCTTTGATTCCAGCTGACAAGCCGCCAGTGTCCCTGGGCCGCTCCGATCGTCCTGTGGCCCAACCCCGCATTTCGACTCTTCTGAAGCCTGGAAATCGGGAAATAGAGTTTGAGACTAGTCTCGCACCGTAAAAGCAGGAGGTTGTTGTAGATCTTGGGATGCCTCGTCAAGGTGGATGTCGACAAGGTATCTGGGAGATGAATCAGAATCAGATGTCAAATGATCAATTGAGCTCCTCGTATCGATTCCATCACAATGTGTTCAACTATGGCTATACCGGTAGTCGGAGAAAGCTGGACCACGGAGGAGATAACAAGCCATGGATCCGATCGACAATCAGTTCCCCGGACGGACGTATCGCCACCGCGTGCACTTGCCGGATCGGGATTAAGGATGATGCTGAGGAGTGTCACAGGGAGCCTACTATCTTTGGTTCGAGGGGAAGCTCACGGGACGGCTCTGCTGCAACCGTCGATTATGACAGTTAAGATCGATAGATAGGGGCAAATCTTCCAACTGTCATGGATCCAGTATTCCCCAAGGGAATTGACGTATTTGTTTACCTCGGAAGAAGACTGCCGGAGGGAGTGATGTCATTTGAGTAACCATCGGGCAGGTTAGTCGAGGGAGCAGACGAGATACAGCAGTGTGATGCAATATTCATCTATACAAACATTTTGGAGTTCATAGACATTTGATATCGAACTGAATAAGAGATATCTGGTTCAAGCATTGAATGTATGACAGCCCGCAAGAGAATAATGAAAGGGTGGATGGGTCAAAAAAGCTGCCAACCCCACTTGGGAAGTCCTGCCGAGCCTTAAGCACTTCTTTTCCCAAGCCAAGCCTCTCTTTTCCCCCCCCCGCAAATCTTTAAAAAAATTTCGCTTATCACCAACTTATCTTTTTTGTCCACTCACGGAGATCTGAGTTATGACCAATTACCCAATTCATTGATTATCTTTCCCCTCCCAGACTCGATAACTCCTCTCCCATCGCCCATCTTGTTGTGCTGCCTGGCCCCCCAGAATGCTCGCGACGTGAGGGGAAATAACCCGAGGACTGCCACACTTGACTGCTGCACCTTTCCTTCGCTTGGTTCATATATCAAGCACCCCTCAGACATCTCACAGAGAGTGACTCTTTCCTCAGTCAGCAGAAAATGGACAGTTGGATGAACTGCCTCTCCCTCGAATACATTGCGCTATCTGTCGGTTGACAGTACTGTACATCCAACCAATCCATTGAAAACAACAACCATCATTTTTCTGCAAATCTCCCTCCCGTATGGACGTGGAAAACCCCGAAACCCTCAAGCCGTTCCACTCGGGCGATCAACATGCCCAAGATGCCAGCGACCTCGCCGCGATGGGCCATGACCAGGCCCTGTCGCGCAAATTCGATATCTGGAGCATGCTCTCGCTAGCCTTCTGCGTTCTAGGTGTGTGTGTGCTTTCTTGCGTCACTTGTTCACTCAGACAATGTGGCCGGCCGGTCCTTGTTTTTCCGCTCCCGACCCACTTGAACTTAGCCGAGAGAGAGAAAAAAAACCCCATGAACTAATTCTGAGGCACCAATCAGGCACCTATTCCACTTTTGCTCAGGATCTTGACAGTGGGCTTACCAATGGAGGTCCCATCTCCATTCTGTGGGGTCTTGTTCTGGTCACCGCATGTAATTTGTGTGTTGCTGTCTCCCTTGGGGAGCTGACCAGTAGTATGCCCACGGCCTTGGGCCAGGCCTACTGGGTCTTCCGACTCTGGGAGACCCCGTTGGGTCGCTTTGCCTCGTACATGTGTGCGTGGATCAACACCTTCGGGTGGTGGACCCTGACGGCCTCGCAGGTGGCCTTCATGACCGAGTTCCTGCTGGGGATGAAGGTCCTGTTCGACAACTCGTGGGGCGGCGCTGGCACGGGTTGGCTGGAATTCGTCGTCTACATCGGATGCGTCCTGGTGCTGACGCTGGTCAACCTCCTCGGCTGCCGGAAGGAGAAGTTCCTGCCCTGGCTGAACAACTTTGTCGGAGTGTGGTTCACCGCGCTGTTCGTCATCCTCTCCCTCGCCCTGCTCATCTCCGTGGGCGTCAAGAAAGATCTCACCTTCCAACCGGCCTCGTTTGTCTTTGGGAATTGGATGAATGAGACCGGCTGGGACGACGGGGTGGTGTGGTTCATTGGGCTGGTGCAGGCGGCGTACGGACTGACAGCCTTTGACGCAGTGATCCACATGGTGGAGGAGATTCCCGCGCCGCGCCGCAACGCCCCGCGCGTGATCTGGCTTTCGGTCCTGATGGGTGCGATCACCGGTTTTATCTTCATGGTGGTCTGCCTGTTCTCGATTCAGGACGTTGACAACGTCATCAACTCAGCGACCGGCCTGCCCTTCATGGAGTTAATGTTGGAAACCGTGGGGCTAGAAGGCGGCGCCACCCTCTTGGCCTTGTTCATCTTCAACGGCCTCGGACAGGGCATCAGCATCCTCACCACCGCCTCCCGGCTCACCTGGGGCTTCGCGCGCGACGGCGGCCTGCCCTGGAGCGGGTATCTGATGCACGTCGACCCGGTGTGGAAGGTGCCCGCGCGGGCGCTGTGGTTCCAGGGCTTTCTGATCGCGCTGGTCGGGGTCCTGTACCTGTTCGCCGACACCGTCCTCCAAGCGATCCTGAGCGTCAGCACGATCGCGCTGACCATCTCGTACGGCCTCCCCATCGCCGCGCTGCTGATCGTCGGCCGCGACAAGCTGCCGCCCGGCGAGTTCCACCTCGGCCGCTGGGGCGCCCCCATCAACTACATCAGCGTCATCTACTGCATCGTGACCACGATCTTCTTCCTGTTTCCCGGCGCCCCCAACCCGTCCGCCAGCGACATGAACTGGGCGATCGCCGTGTTCGGGGTCATGCTCGTCGTGGCCGTCGGGTTCTGGTTCCTCCAGGGCCGCCACACCTACCTCAAGACCGAGGACGCGATCGCGACCATGGTCCAGGCGCAGCGGCTGGAGATCGAGGCCGAGCAGACGGAGGCGAAGAAGACTTGAGATCTTGGTGGTTGTAAATAGTGACCCAGACCCCCTTGCACATACTGTCTATATCTGGGTTCAAGTGTAGATCAGACTGATCGTCTATATCTCTTGTTACAGTGTCTATACATATCCATACATTGACATATTTTGGAACGCAAATCCTAAAAAATCTTGCTCACCTCAGCTGTCCTCCGCGCTTTGTATTATGGTATGCCATCTTCTCAAGTGAGTTCGGGGAATTAGAGTCTGAATGGTGGTGAATGACAGACAGAGAAAAGCGATGATTGCTAGCAACCGAGATCCTCCTCTTTGCAGAAGGGACCAGAGAAAGGAGGGTGGAGCGGGAGAATCCGGGTTGACGCTGTGCTAGTATTACATTCTCCACAGGCTCCGGGCTCTGTGCGGTTCGATAATTTTTGTGGGTCGGAGGTGGAAAGGGTACCGGTCGTGGTGGGTTTGGGGTGTAGCGCGTCATACCTATCGCCGGCAGTCACGAGCTCATGCTTTGTGGGGATCCGGGGAATCTGAGTAAAGTTCTTGGTCTATTGAATGTACACGGCTTAATAAAAGATGAGGTATATACATAGAAGAAAAAAATGGGCCGTAAAACGGTCAAACGCTGCGTCCCGCCTAGCTCTAATGGTCCATCTGTGTGTCTATATGCGAAACCTGGGCCCGGCGCCCTGGGTGCGGATGTGGGCGACATCGACGAGCCTCCCCAGGATAATGTACTCGAGCTTCAGTTTGATGCTGTAGGCGAGGGCCTTGAAGGTGACCTGGAAGGTGAAGAAGCCGGCCCACTGGATGGCGACGACGGCGAGGTCCAGGAAGACGATGAGGACGTTGACGAGCAGGAGCTGGGAGAGGAGGGGGCGCGAGGCGGGGCTGCCGCTGTCGAGGCGGAGCAGGCGGGCGGTGGCGACGATGTAGACGCCGGAGAGGAGCAGCTCCTGGACGCAAAACCAGGTGACCTGGATGCGCTCGACGACGCCGAACCCGAGGGAGACGGCGCGGGAGTCCGGCCGGGCGTTGGTCGCGAACTCCAGCGCGGTGGCGCAGCCGTGCAGCAGCACGCCGTCGACGACGATCAGCCAGAACAGCGCGCGCAGCAGGCGCCGGTTGTGCAGCACCAGGTGCAGCCGCGACCAGAGCACCAGCGACTGGCCGGTCACCATGCCGGCCCAGCCGAGGTCCGAGATGGCGATCTCCAGGTAGAAGTGCGTCGCGGTGATGTCGAACATCTTCAGAAGGTAGCCCAGCCCGAAGGGCAGGATGCTGACCGAGGCGACCAGCAGGCTCCAGAAGTAGGGCCCCGCGTACCGCTTGAAGGTGTTGAAGCACAGCACCAGCAGCTCCAGGGCGTTGCACCACGCCAGCGCGATCAGGATCGGGAACACATACTCCTCGACGTTCGGGTCCCCCAGGCGCCGCTCGAGGCCCGTGGTGTTGTTGTTGCTGGTGTTGCCAGGGATAAATTGGGGCATACGTGGGTTTTTTTCTTCAAAGCATGCAGAGGGTAGGTGAATGAGGGACTATATGGGTGCTGAGTAGATTAGGAGAGGCGAGGAGGCGCTGCCTGCCTGCACAATTAGGTGGATATTGGATAACGAGAGAACGAAGTTGGGAAAATGTGCTCCCTCACTGCCCTGGGGATTGCAGGAGAGAAGTCGAAGCCAAGGCGAACGCCCGCCTGAGTTAATCCCTAGTGGCCATGCATCGATTGGATGATAATTCAGGGACTACTTCAAGGAGTGCGTCATGGAGACTGGAAAAAGTAGTGATCGAAGTGGGTGCAATTGGTGGGAGATACGCAGAACATCCACCGGCAAGATCATGGACTGCCAATCGGCACGCTGGATGAAACCGAGATGTGTGTGACGCGGCTTGGTAAGCAGGCTGTCCGCATTGGGTGTAGTGATAGGGTCACGTGCTAGCACGGGAGGAGGATGGCTGCTAACCCTTTTGGGCGAGGAAGCATCCATGTCGCCCTGATGCCTTCTCCAATTCTTTAATTCACTCCTCGTGATGGAGGCATCTCTTGTACTGCTGTTGTACAGCACTCGAGTATACTCACACCAGTTTTACAAAGAATGAGAGTGACAGGGAGACAGTACAAACCTCAGACTTGAAAGCAGGAAGATCATGTTACCAGCAAGCCCACAACACTAGGAGCGGCCTGAGACAATGCCATTCACCTGACCCTCACTTTCATTCTGTTACCAGCTTATGCAACTTACTACAGAGAGAGTACCTGGTGCTGGAGCTGTGGGGCTGATCGAGGTGTCACCAATATGTTTATTCATTCGGTGCGAGTTGCCGCAAATGGACATGCATGTGCTCGCCGATTTGCTCGTCAAGCTGTCAGGAATGACTGCCGCAACAATCACGTTGGATGTCACCAAAGAACCATAGTGCAAAAGCAAACATGGTGTGGTCCGAGTCTTTACCAACCAACCAAACCGAGCCAGACTGGACGAGTCGGAGAAACGGTCGTACTTACCGCAAACTGAAACCTCCTTCAGAGCTCTAGTGGATGTATCATCCATGCCATTGATCACCTGCGCCAGTCTCTGTGGCTTGCGGTGAGGAACCCTGCTGACAATGCTGCCGTCATGCAGTTGAGTACAACAGTGGTTGGCTATGGGGAAAATTGGCGAAGGAGGCTGACGGTCTGTGCTGGATATGATCTTATCCGCAGTCAACTCCGCACTCGCGCTCCACCGTTCTCCGCACGTCTGACCCCGGATTCCTTCCCCTCAAAACGCCAGCCTCTTCTCGACGCCCTGGGAAGGAATTGAGGAGTTTTGTTACATATTCCCGTGGAACACGTCCTAGATAAAAGCCAAGAAATACAGAAACAATCGTCAGCATCATGGCTCCCCAGTTTCGCGCCGAGCAGATAGGATCGCTGCTCCGGCCCGATGAACTTGTCGCCGCTCGGGCTGCCGCCGGACAGCTCGTGTCGTATACCACCGAACCGGTCCCTGATGCCCTCAGAAAAATCACAGAAGATGCCATCGCCCGAGTGGTCGAGCAGCAACTGCAGCGGAAGGTCCGACCCATCATGTCCGGAGAATATGAGCGAACCATCTACTATTCCGGCTTCTTCGAACGCCTCCACGGCTTCAAGATTGTTCCGGACGTGCCTGTCCCCGCGGGACTACGAAATGGACTTCCCGTGGTGAACGTCATGATCCGCAACGGGATGACCGCCCGCGAAGCAGTAATTGCCGTCGACAAGATCCGCTACGCTGAGAGCCCGTACCTCGCGGACTGGGAGTACCTGCGCAGCCTTGTGCCCCCGGCGGAATGGAAAGAGTGCAAGGTCACCATCCCCCCTATCACCTGGCAGCATCTGCAGCTGCGCGCCGGCACCGCCTTTAGCGATCGTAGCCCCTACACGACGGACAAAGAGTACTTTGCCGATCTGGCCCAAGCGTACGCTCAGGAGCTGCGGATGTTGTACGATGCAGGCCTGCGGTCGATCCAGGTGGACGACCCCCAGCTGCTGTATTTCGTGACGGACGAGTTCCGCTCGGGCTGCCGCGCGGATGGGATTGATCCGGACGAGCTGCTAGAGTTATACATCTGGGCACACAACCAGTGCCTGGTGGGTCGGCCAGCGGACTTGCTAGTGGGCATCCATCTCTGTCGGGGCAATATGCCCGGGTCCACCCACATCATCAGTGGCTCGTATGAGCGCATTGCGCGGCGTCTGTTCACGGGACTGGACTTCGATACCTTCTATCTCGAGTATGACACAGAGCGAGCAGGTGACTTCCAGCCGCTGCGGTACCTGCCGGTAGGCAAGAACGTGGTGCTGGGCGTCGTCTCGACTAAGAGTCCGGAGATGGAGTCCCTGGACGAGCTCGAGGCCCGCGTGAACGCGGCAGCGGACGTGATTGCTCAGGGTCAGGGCCGTAGTCGACAGGAGGTCCTCGACACTACATTAGGGGTGAGTCCGCAGTGTGGGTTCTCGAGTATCAGTCGCGGTCGGGGCATTGGGATGACGGACGAGAAGATGTGGGAAAAGCTGCAGCTGGTGCAAAATCTGGCCGAGCGGCTCTGGGGACGGACCGCTGGCGTTCCGTGAGTACTGGCCAGGCTCTGCATGCAGAAATTGTGAACAAGCCAGGAAAGCCCATGTGCTCGAACAATGAAGCATTGATGGATCGATGGGTGGTGCGGCAGGACCCACTTGCCGTCCCCTTCAATATTGTCCTGAATAGAGACAGACACCTGGGGCCATTTTATCTCGGTAGATTAATTGTGCATCATAAACATTATAGCCGAGGAATTCGCCCTGCACGTGGCTGCACTGGTTGGTGACAGGCAGCGTATCCTCGGCGATCGACATGTCGACCTGCTGTTCCTGGCCTCGGAAGCAGAGGGGGAAAGGATTAACTAACCGTTAAGCTGCCAAAACTTGGCTTTCGAGTGGATAATAGCTCGGTTATTCTTCCATGGAAAAAGTTCCTGGCATAATGTAGTAGCTTCTAGGTAAATTAGCGACGGCACCACCAGCTATATAGACCCGGCGCCTCGTGCCCCTACCGTAGACACTGGACACTTTGTATTTGTGTCGCTCACAGAGTCCGTCCGCAATCATGCATTTCCCGGTCGCTAGTGCCCTTGCGCTCCTGCCTCTCTCCGCGCACGCTGTCAACATCATCTCGTCGAATGATGATGGCTGGGCCGAGATCAACATCCGGCAGCTCTACGATTCCCTCACCGAGGCAGGCCATTCGGTGGTGATCTCCGCCCCGGCTGAGAATGAGAGCGGCACTGGTATGTATAGCATAGCATAGCATATTCCCTCCAAACCTCACAGCAACAACAGAGATACTCCCAAACTCTCGAACCCACCCGCAACTACTCCTATAATATTAACCCAGAAAACAACAGGCTCCGACGACGGCACCCCGACCGTTCTAACCTCAGCCTGCGAATTCGACAGCTGCCCCGCCGGCAGCCCGGCCTACGGCTCGAACGCGACGCAACCGCGCTTCAACTACGTCAACTCATACCCGGTCACGTCTATCAAATACGGCATCAACACGCTGGCCTCGACGTTCTTCTCCGGCGCCAGCCCCGACCTCGCCGTGACGGGTCCCAACGTGGGCTCCAACCTCGGGTGGGAGGTGTTCTTCTCGGGGACCGTCGGCGCCGCCACTTACGCGGCCAACACGGCGGGGATCCCCGCGATCGCGTTCTCGGGCGCGACGGGCGCGCAGACGGCGTGGAACGTCTCGGCCGTGCCCCTGTACAGCCAGGTGTACGCGGAGCTGGCGACCAAGCTGACGGATCAGCTGATCGCGGGCGGGGAAGCGCCGTACCTCCCCGAGAATGTGTGGTTGAATGTGAACTTCGGAGCGGTGACGGACGGGGGTAGTTGCGCGACGGCGGATGAGTTCAGCTTTGTCTTGTCGCGGATCCATACGGCGCTGCCGTTGATCACGGCGGATGATGTCGAGACTTGCGGGTCGACGCGCTTGCCGACCGAGACGGCTGTGGTGGACTCCGATGGGTGCTATGTTAGTGTTTCGGTGGGGTTGGCGAGCGATAAGCTTGATGCGAATGCCACTGTGCAGGGTGTGGTGTTGGAGAAGTTGGGGGATTTGTTGACTTGTTTGTAAAAGGATAGGGAGTGTGGATAGAGGGGTGGAAGTGGATGGTTGGGTGTTTTTGACTTTCGTGAGTTGCTTGGCAATTGGAGGGACCTAAAAGTATTCGAATGATACTCCCGCGTTTGTGCAGTCCTGTTGGAACAAGGGTAATGACATCTCGTCCACTGTGTTTCTCGGGAGATGGATTTGGGTCAGATTGGGGAAGGCATCGCGGGCAGTGGTGACGAGGATGGTGAGCTCCGCAAGTAGATCTGCGTAGCGGGTTTCCACGATGTTGAGAACACGAAGACGTCGGAGGGATCTCGGGAGCCGATCCGCGAGAATGCCTCGAGCAGAAGCTCCATCCACCGCTGGTAAGAGGTTGGCGTGTCGCAGGGTCACCTCTTCGAGGACTTCGAAGTCGCGAATCGAATCCACGGGCGCATTGCAATGATCCAGATTCTGCTCGTCCTCGGTGAGCCAATAGATGTCCTCATAGTATAGTTCTACCGGCCCGGGGGCGTTCAGTAAGGCGTGGTATACTTGGTCGTACTCGATGTGCAGACTTTTCAAGGTCTTTCTGAACGGAAGAAGGGCTCGGACAAAGCGCGCGGGGTTGAAGGGCACCCCGAACCGGATCTCAGGGTAGCCGACGAAGATGCAGGCGATTCGCACTGAGATATGCTCCAGCTCCGTGCAGTCTGCGAGCCAGGTGACTGTGCCGCGCGAGTGCTTCAAGGATCGAATGTCTATCCGTTTGACCGGGCAACGGTCGCAGCTGGCCTCTCGCCGCCACTCGAGAGGATCATCCCGTCCTCGACCCTCCCACAGCTGGCTGACATCAACTGTTTCCACGGCTGGGAAGTAGAAGAAAGGTGTCAGGACTTCTTCGAGATCGAACCCCTGCTCGCAGTCTCGGACCGAAATGTGCCGCAGAAGAGGGTACGGGGAGGTTTCGTCGAAGGGCCGCTGCTGTTTCCCAGCCCTGTACAGAAGATCACAAATGGCACTATTGTTGTAAAGGCCCACAAACTCAATGCTCTCGAGACGTGTCAACCGGACAAGCAACACTCCCAGCCAGAAGCACCAATCACTGCTTCGCAGTTTTGTTCCCCACCAATCACGTCTGCGCTTGTCCTTGAGATCGAACATCTCATTCTGTACATCCTGAATGAACCCTTGGAGCTCAGGTACCTTCTTCTCGTCCAGCTGATACTGACGGCGGGGGTGACGAATAATCGGGAGATGAATCTCGGCGTGGCGCACAAGACTAGCCAGGTCGGGACATCGCCATAGGCGCATAACAAGAGAGACATAGCTGTCTGACAAGGGTGGGATCAGTCGGATCTCGGAATAGAAAAGCGGTTGAAGGACGTCGTATAGTCGCCGACAGCATCGGATCAGGGAACATAGTGTATGCTTTTCGATGAGCTGGCCAATAGAGAGAATGAGCTCGGGTGGTAGACAGTCCATTGAGCTGGAGGCACTGAGGGGTCCTTCGACCCTCTTGAAAGTGTTGAAGATGGCAACAAGAGAGTGAAATGTGAGGCCAAATCGACCTTCCCATGCGGGGTTCCCGCCGCTTTTACAAGGGGCAGCGCGCCAGGTCCACGGTGGGGCAAAACACACCCAAAAATAGAGGCAGGCGCCTCACTATCCAACCCGTGTGTGGCCTCAGGCTTCATGTTTCTGCCGGCGCATGCCGCTTCAGCCAGAGCTGATAGACAACACCTACCAAGCTTCAGCTCCTGGGTCCGAAACTAGCAGTTAGGAGATACGAGATGTACCTTCGGGAGCGCCAAACAGGACGCGCAAACCAGCCTTGTTCGTTATTTGATCATGCGTTTGAGTCTCATCAGCAGCTGTTCATCTGTTTGCCCCCATTTGGCTAAGTCTAGCCATCAGCAATAATTCATCCAATGTTTTGTTGCCAGATGGTGAGCTGTGAAAGGCTTCAAGTGGGAATTGCATCACAAGTCACCTTTGTTTAACTGAGAGGGTTCGTCTCAGCCAGTGGCCCATCACACCTAACAACAGCATGGCTGAGACATGGGACACTCACCAGGCCGAAGTGATTACTTGCAAACAGCCCGATGAAGCTTCTGCTTGCCGTCCATGGCTTCCGCCCTCAAATGTTTCAGGCTGACAAGAAAATTTCAGGCAATTGAGCGATGGCGTTTGCAGACATCAGGTCTGGATAACGATCTAGCTCATGTCACCTTCCGTGGCCTAACTTCCATGCTCCACCAAACAGGCTAAATTTCACAGTGGGAAATGGCAGTGGTCCGCTTTTACTGTTAGGTGGCCATAAACTATGTCATTCTGTTTCCTGGCACATCTTCAGTTTGATCAACGCTTCCTTCCTTCTTGCTCGCTCACACCTCTCCTTCTCGACCTTGTAAAGCCAAGCCGCACAATCGAGAAAATCCTGTCGTTTAAACGGCAAGACCCAGACTCCGACGGAGTAGCTTGATGAACAACCTGACTGACCGTACACAGTGATGGAAAACATGAATGAATCCTATATTCTAGTGCCTGGCTTTGACTACCACCCCCATGATGCGATCAACCCGGGAGATATCGTCGCTGACTGGCGAGAACCAACTAAGACCCTCAGCAGCCCCACGAAGCCTGCCATACTCGCATTACACACAGACATCGAGGGCATGTTGAGGAGTGATGAAGAGTTGACCACACTCCACGGGCAACTTTGGACGAGATTCCTGCGCTTCGCTGATACTGCTGTCGGTGGTGGAGGCACTGTGCTTGACCCTGCGAATCACTTCTACGAGCGGCTGGACACCATCCATCTACACGATTACCCTACCAATGAGGAGGCCACTGAGCGCAGCTTACATCCGGAAGTACAGAGTGTGATGCGAAGCGGGTTTGGCCGGACGTCAGTGTTCATGATCACGGGCATCAAGGTTGCCGAGGGATTCACGATGAGAAGGCCTTCTCTCGAGAGCCGGGAGACGAAGGCGACAATAACAGCACGGCTTTTTGGCACGGAAGCAGACCCGGGCCTTGTTGAGGCTGAGGCAATCATTGGTGGACATGAGCCGGTGGTGGAGGAGTGGCAACCGCCTGCCGACATCGTTTATGCCTATAAGGTTAGCACGGTCCACTTCGAGGAGTGTCTGTCGGGGCCCTGCCAGATTCATCCCCACGTTCCTAGGGCCGGGGCCGCTTTGCTGCATGATAAGAAAGGGGAACAGAGGACCGAGGCAGCGGATGACTACGCAGCGTACCTGAAAACTTTGCGGGAGAGGGCAGCAGATGTGTTCTTGGCCGAGCAGGAGGGCTTGAGGAACCTCACGGGGGAAATGGATGTAGAGGTTGTAGAGTTGACGGATGGAACAGAGAAATGCGATGTGGTCATGTTCAACACCGTGCCTAGGTAGTTTGGATCTGAGTATCTGCCTATCTATTGGGCTGGACAGGGGTTCTCTCAGCGATTTGATTCCTACCTTTACGACGAGGAACAAGTATCCTTATGAGCGAAATTGTGATTATGAGGTTGGAAGATTTATGGGTAAATTAACAGTCTCTTCCTAAGCAGGAACGAACCCACGTAAATCTCCCAATCCTCAGCCCACCAGCCAGTTCCCCTTCCCGGCATCAACACTGAAACCACCCCACGGCAGCAATCTCAACACTCCCCCTCCAACGGCACCTCCGACCTCAACCCAATCTGCGTCTCCAAATGCTTCATGCGCACCGTATTCAACCCTGTGACATTCGAAATCACCGGCTTTGTACTCCGCCACCCGATCATCTTCTGCGCCAGGGGCGTCATACTCTCCACCACCGCCCGCGGCACGGTGACATGCGTCTCGTACGGAGCGAGCTGACAGCTCCCGACCGACAGCAACAACAAGCGTCGATGATCGGGGTTCTCCGCGCCGTGCGCCGCCCCGCCATGCTTCGTCGTCCGGTACAGCACCAACGCGTCCCCGGGCTGAAGCACCGCCCGGACCGTCTGCTCATCCGTCCCGCGCTGGCCCATCGGCCACCGATGACTCCCCAGGATCACGCGCGTGGCGCCATTCGCCTCCGTGAACTCGTTCACTGCCGTGATAATACTGAACACCGGCGACGGGGCGTCGTCCGCCAGATACTGCAGGATCGGGTGCGTGCCGTGGTCGTTGTGCAGCTCCTGGGTCGGGTTGCCCGGCATCATCTCCATGGCCATCCCGTTGAGGAGCCAGTAGTCCCCGTGCGTCCGCGTGAAGACCTCCTCGCACAGGCGATGCAGGACCGGGTTGTTGAGGATCTCGTGCCGGAAGGTCGGGCATGTGGCGGTCAGGTCGTTCATCCATTTCGTCGTGGTGGGGACCGGCATTTGGTAGAATTCTTGGTTCATCTGGCCTCCCGTCGTCGTGGCGGAGCGGTGCGAGAGCTCCTGGTCGAATTTTTCGATCGTGGGGCCCGGGAGAAAGCCTTCGATTATGGCGGCGCCGTCGTCGCAGACCGCTTGCCACAGGGTTTGCGGTGGGGTGGTCGCGGGGAAGCGTCGGATTGAGGGTTTGTTGGCGGTTTCGGGGGATGACATGATTGGTATGGAGGGGTTGCTCGAGGTTGAGATGGGGGGGTTGGGGATGGTCTCTAAAATGCTTTTGAAGTGATAGCATGTGTTCATGGTGGTGGGTGAGGATGTGCTGTGCCCTTTTGTACTCATCCATGACTCAATGGCTGCGGTGGAGAGTGACTGTGATCGCCACGCAATGGCTCGATGTCATATTTTGGACAGATACAGCAACCAGGTGAAGGGGATCTTCCGACATTCAGTGATGGGATCTATCTCATCAAAGCCCCTCTAGGAAGTTGCATGCTACCTGCTCAATCGAAACCAAGGCAGCAAAGATCCCGATGTCATCATCTATTGCCAATCGGTGGAGACATTTTTCTTCTTTGTACGAGGCAAACTTGTGATATTGAACGCATGACCATGAATGCAGTCAATGATTCAATAGTCTCACTGCATGTTGCTGCATGCTGTGCGTCATGGCTGTCTGCCCCAGAAGCCTCACTTTCGGTCACATCCGACCGGACATGCCGGGAGCTACAATGTGGCACGGAACTATTACCTGGTCATACGTCGGGGAAGTGGATGTGTGATAAATTCAGGCTCCCTAAGACTAACAAGCGTGGTGGGAAATGGGCAGTCTGGCCAGCGAGGCCGAGGGTAGCTGACAACGTCGTAACCAGGAAATGCATGGTATGTATTACCTATGGGAAATGAACTAAGATGATATTCACACCTTCAGCGGCATTACCTCAGCTAGAATTTTCTGCTCATCCTTCTCCACCGCATCCCACGCCTTGTCGACAATTTCCTTACGCTTCTCACTTCGGATGACCACCGACGCCGGGAAAGAAGGCACCTGATTGAAGGCCGATCCCCCACCACGGGGCTGCATCAGCTCATCTAGATCCAATTCCACCTTTTTACCATTTTCATACGCATGGCCAAAGTCATAGGCCCAGAAGAGGCGCGCAGTGTTAATGAACAAGTGCTCGCGGGCCAGATGTTGGCCGGGACATCCGCGCAGCCCAAAGCCGAAAATCACATGGGGCAGATCGGGGTTGTCAATCCAGCGCTGCGGACGGAACGTGAAAGGATCATCATAGACGTTCTCATCGTGGTCCATGGCCCACTGATTCAGCACCAGCGTCGCCCCCTTGGGCAGCAAGTAGCCGTTGTACTCGATATCGCTGCTGATGGCGCGCGGCGCTCCCAGCGGCGAGAAGGCGTGCCACCGCAGCGCCTCGTAGACGAACGCCATCACCCAGGGAATGCGGTCTCTGTGCTCCCAGTCCGGCAGCCGGTCGGGACCAACTACCGCATCAATCTCCCGTTGCAGGCGGCGCATCTCATCGGGATGGAAGATGGCCGCCAGGACGATGATGCGAAGGATCTCATACGGGGTCAGCGAAGCCTGGTAGGTCGAGCCGATGCAGAACGAGAGCTCCAGCTCGCTCATCCCCTTCGCCTCGGGCCGTGACACGTATTCCTTGGCCCAGTTCCACGCCGGCGTGCTGAGCCCATCCCGAAACCGCTTCACATAGATATTCGCCAGCCGCTCCCCAACATCATCCAGCTGCTTGAGGAACTTGTCATTCCCCGGGAGATACTTCAAGATGGGGAAGAACTCGCGCAGCATGGCGGTGCCCGCAAACATCGACTCGGAGATCCCGCCCAGCTGGGCCACCGCGCGGTCGATATCCAGGATCTCGGCCGTCTCCTCGGGGAAGCGGTGCCCGTAGGCGATGCCCAGGAACAGGCTCGCAGCCTGCCGGCGCACGCACTCCGTGAAGCAGTCTCCCTTGGTCAGCAGCTCATGCAGGAGCTGCTTGGACTCCAGGTCGTTGATGCCCCGGTACTTCACCGCCATGGTGGGCTTGAGCACGGCGCCGCGGAGGGCGCGGTGCGTCAGCCACTTCTCCCCGTAGGGAAGGGCCGGGGTCGTGAAGCCGTACAGCGCGCGCTCGAGCACGAGCAGCTGCGGGCGGCTGCTGAAGACGGCGTTGTGCTTTGCCAGGAAGGTCTCGACGATGTGGTGCGAGGAGACGATAATGGTGATGTTGCCCCCGTTGTTGACTCTCATGATCGGGCCGTATTGATCGGACCATTGTTTGTAGACTTCCCATGCCTTTTGGCGGGGAGCTTGGTGAAGGTTTCCAATCATTGGGAGCCCCCGGGGGCCTGGAGGGAGGGGCAGTTGGGACCTTTTGCCGGTTGGGGTCAGATGGTAGTAGGATAGGATGAGATAGATGGTGATGAGAAAGACGAGAGCTAGACCCGTTGGGGTCAACGCAGCAAGGGAGATTGAGAAGGCCATTGTGAGGTTCGGGTGGTCTCGAGCTGGAGGGTGAGAATCACCCAGCACAGTTGACAACTTTGAGATGAAGACGAAGGCGAGAGGAAGGACAGAGGTGGGCGGGCGACTGTGCCTTTGCGAATTTGCGAGTGCACTGCATGAAGTCACCTGTCTCTGGAATCTGGCGGTGATGTAGGAGGAAAGTTGCCCACCAATATTTGTCGGAGCTGTCATTGAGATAGACAAACTTGATTCCTTGTGCTACAGCTACTGTTGCTGTTGCTCTCGCATGACGCACAGTGATTCCGCAGCTGTCAATAGAGTCGATGTCTTATGGTAGACCATCGCGGGTGTCTACTTGAGCTCAGATGATTGGGCTCGATCTACTTAGCCAGCCTCAGCCTCCACTGATGATCATTTCCGATTCTCCCGATGCTGAAGACACATCACCTTCTCCTGTGCAGCTTGTCATATATTTTCATGAAGACTATTGATTCTGGCTGCAGATCATGCGGGGAACCTGGGATCTTCGTGTGGCTCTGGCCACCGCCAAACTTGTTTGTTCAGGATGTTTGTATGGTCTCCACGGATGGAGGCAGTCTACGGTACACAAATACTTCCGTCTCGGCTGCATGATGGCAATAGCCCGGGTGATCGACATCGACCGAGAACGATCGATTCAACCCAACCTCATCGAGTGTGTAATTTTCAATTCCCCAATACACACGCCTGTCTGTTACCATTACGGCTGGTGAAAGGATAAGTAGTTGTGGCTCACAGCAGAAACGCACAAGGACATCCAGACAGACAGACCCATAAACTCATTGCAAATCATATTCCCTGTTGCACTACGCAATGATGACCGTCCTTGAAGAGTCTCTCCAAGAGAGTCCGTTCGAGGGCCTATCCAAGGAGCTCAATCTCAAGAGCGATGAGGAAAGGCTCTGGTGGGAGAAGACCGGGGTGATGCTGGCGAGAGTGCTGTCGTCTGCCAGCTACACCCGCGACGAGCAACTCCAATACCTTCAATTCTATGCCCAGGCTCTGCTTCCTCTTCTGGGCCCTTATCCGCAATCCTTCCGCAGCTCGATCACGCGCAGTGGGCTTCCCCTCGAGTTGAGCATCAACTATCAGCAACAGGAGAAGCCACTGGTGGTCCGCATTGGATTCGAGCCGCTCAACGCCCTCTCCGGCACTCCCAAAGATCCATTCAATTGCCTCCCCGCTTTCGAGCTCCTGTCCTCGCTCGCCCAGCTGCGGATCCCGGGCTATGACGAACAGATCTGGCACCAAGTCATCCAGGACCACACCGTGAGCCAGGCTGAGCGGGGGGCCTTGCAGGGCGTCGACCTTGAGGCGGGCTACATCCGATCACAGACCGCGTTCGGCTTCGACCTGACGAGGGAGGGCAAAATTGCGGTGAAAGGCTACAGCTTCCCCGCCTTGAAGTGCAAAGTCACTGGCCAGTCCATGGCCCAGCTGATGGCCACCTCGATCGCCAACTTGACCCCTCTCATCGACTGCTCCCCGGCGTTCGCAACGGTGGACGCCTACCTGCGGGAGGTTGGCTACGACGACCGGTCATTTTTCTCCTGGGACTTTGTCGACCCGGCCCGCTCGCGCCTGAAGCTTTACACCGGCTCCAACAGCGTGACGTGGGAGAAGCTGGCCGAAGTCTGGACGCTCGGCAACCGCGTCCAGTCCCCGACGGTGGCCCGCGGGCTGGAATATCTGCGGCAGCTGTGGGATCAATTGCAGCTGGCGGCCGGTGAGCGGGATATTGTGGTGGCCTTCGATGACCAGCAGAGCACCTCCAAGGCCACCCCGTTGCTCTGGAACTACGAGATGCGCGCGGGCAACCCCACCCCGCTGACCAAGCTGTACTTCCCCGTGCACGGGGAGAGCGACTGGAAGGTGATCACGGCGGTTGCCGACTTTCTGTGTCACATTGGGCTGGAGCGCCATGGTCAGGGGTATGTCGAGAAGGTCAAGTCGTACTAGTAAGTGTTTCCGATGCTTGCATTCGAGTGGCTTGACTAACTGCTGGTTTCATTTCAAGTCCCGGGGTTGATCTCACTACAACTGATCGTTTTACCTCGTGGGTTTCGTTTGCCTACACGGAGAAGACTGGGGTGTATCTGAGTACTTATTACCATTCTTCCACGGATAATCCTTGGAAGATAACGGTCGAAGAGGAGGAACAGGCTTAAACTCTGAAGCTGTCTCATCACAGTTGAATAGTGTCAGCATACCCTGTAGCCTTTTCATGTCAAACTCACCTGAATCAACGCACCGTCCAGTCAAACAATCACACATACTTTCACATTTTTCAACATTTCGTGATAATCATATAAACTCACTACAACAGTGGGATAAGAAACTACAACCCCCCTCTCAACCCAAAACCTCAAAAGTTCTACTCGGAGATCCTCAGCCCCTGCACATCCAACGGCTCAACCACCGTCTCCGCCTCCGCAACGGCGCCCACGTCGTCCGCGTCGTCCGGGCCCCAAAGCTCCTCGACCAGCTGCATGGTGCGCGCATGCTCCCGGTCCGCACTCGGCCCCCCGAGCAGAAACCACTGCACGCACAGCGCCTCGCCCGAGGGCAGCAGCTCCTTGTAGATCTTGCCGCGGCGCCCGACGTGCACCTCGCCGATGAGCGGCTTGAGGTGCGGGTCGCTCTCTCGCAGCCGCCGGAACTGTCGCGTCAGCTCGTCCCTGTACATGTTCCAGTTCGGGGTGAAGGTCGGGTCGTTGCGGCCCGCCTCGGTGTCGATGAGCCACACATACTGCTCGTGCGGGTGGTGGCGCCGCGGGATGATTACCCGGGAGGGTTGGGGGAGTCTTACCATTTTTCGGATTGGTTGTGGGTGCTTGGTTTGGTTTGGTCTGGGGTTGGGGTTGGGATGTTATTGGGAAGGTTCTAGTGGGTTGTTGGGTAATGGTGGTGGGTTTGGTTGAGTTTTTATGTTGATGTGCCAGTGGCCGTCGGGGTGGTTGAGCGGGAGTTGGCTTTTTTTGTTCTTTGAGTGCTGTATATGTTGTTTGGGACACGATGGGATGTTTAACGGAGGTTGTCATTTCATGATTGTCTATAATTCTTGCTGTGATATACGTGAAGATCTGTAAATGACCTGGTTGACATTGTTTGCATGAAAGGTAAAGGTGACTTCCTCAAAAGACCGATAGTTGTCGTAAGCATGAGGAGCTCTTCATTCTGATCTATAAAAGCTCTTAGCTCTTAGGGAGTCTCATGCGAACCGGTAGTTGTATTATAGTATGTTGTGAAGATTCGGATAGGATAGGTGGTTTGCATCATTGTGATTGTGTCCATGATTGTCATGGGTGTAATTAAACATCGCCTAACCATGTACCTTAGTCAATTACCTTGAGCATTTGAAAGCCATGCCCGACACGCGGGAGCTCTTCTGGTAGGAAAGATCTTGATGAATAGAAAGAACATTCTTCCAAGTTGGGTCTATGATACTTCGAATTAAATGCTGTTCAGAGAGATCCGTACTGTATGTCGAGGTATTCAGCGACGGGGCTATGCCCACCGGTAGTGCTGTATGGGCAGTGCGGTACGGTATCAGGAGCATGCACAATACCATGGGGTGTGCTCTGCTCCGCCTCCCGCTTCCCTCTTCCTCCTTTCCCCGCTTCCACTTCTTATTTACTATCATACTCCATCCGATATCGCCCATCACCAGGAATGTTGCAAGGCACATACTCCTGACCATTTCGCACCGCTTCTGCCACTTTTGAGAACTCCTTCAAAGCGTACTCCTGGCAGTCGTGGTCCAGAATCCACGCCGGGTGCGGTGGCTTCACCATCGTCGGGTCCTGCCGCAACGCGTCGAAGTCGACATGATTCATCACAAATTGCAACACCGCCAGGCCACCTTGCTGGACGATCTGAGCACGCCGGTATCGGATCTTCTCCGTGACTGACAGCGCCAATGGTACATCCTTTTTCCCCGCCAAGTCAAGTGCGATCGCAAGTGTGGCGGCGTCTTCGATAGCCTGGGTACCTCCCTGTCCGCTGGACGGGAGCGCCGCGTGCGCCGCATCACCAACCACGATCATGCGGCGCTTGGGCGACAACCAGGTAGTCAAAGGAGTGCGAAGGGCTAGATTCTCCGAGATAAATCGACCACTCATCACCCCTTTGATAACTGCCTCGAGTTGGTCTCGTACTGCCCAACCATCCATGCACTGCAGAATCTGGTTCATTGTTTCATCGTCGTTCTGGGACGGAGTACTGGCGGCCTGCAGATGCAGCATCATGTCAATGCGGTCCTCGAGACTGGATGCAATCAGATGAGATGCCTACCTTATGCGAGCAGTACCAGAACAGCTCATTGTCCTTCTTCTTGGTCGTGATTCCGAAGTGGACTCCGGGTCCAAGCCAACCATAGATGCAGTCCTCGGATCCCGATTCTTCTTCACTGAGAATCCAACTCAGACTCGGACTGCAAGCCGCGACTTGAGCATCCAGGTACCCTCGAGAAGCCGCGTAGCCGGTCTCCTGCAGGTTCATCTGCTGGCCGGTAATGCTCAGTCGGCCCTGGCTGTGGATTCCTTCGGCGCAGATGACACAGTCGGCCGAGATTCGTCTACCATCGACTTCAATTCCAGCCTCGTCTTTCGTCTCCCAGTACTTGGTGACTTCAGAGCCCAGGGCGATGGGAATGCCAAGGCTCTGGGCGTACTGGTGCATAGCGGACACTAGTGCTCCACGGTTGACTGTGTAACCGCGGCCCTCGTTGTATCCATGGAGCTCGAACGTGCCATAACAATAGCCAGTGTAGTCAAACACTTTGGCTCTGTTGGTCTGGAACTCCAACGGGCGGATTAATTCGTGGAAGGCACCATCGCCCCATTTGGCAGTCACTCGAGCTCCGTTGGAGCCAATGCTGATTCCGTCTCCTTCTGTTAAACGATATCAGTGGCTTAATTGAAGAACAAGCGATTCGCCTCGAATCACGTCATTGACTTAGCTACTAACCCATCTGTTTCAGCTCCTCATACTTCTCAAAAACCATAACATTATGTCCCTTGCTATGGCATTCAATAGCAACACTCAGCCCTGCAATGCCAAGACCGACAATGATCACTGTCAATCTGTTCGAGTCATTTTGCGCCATGCTCTCGAATGTCATGGTTGCTATCTCCTAATGTGAAGAAAATGATGTCGAAGACTTGTGGTCGAGCGAATTGATGTGGGCGCTCCTGCACCCCCAGATCGGCGGTCACACCTTTATGACTATCACGAATCCACCATTTGCATGAGAAAAGAAAAGAATCTTTGAATGTGATGAGATCAAGGTAAGACAATCAGCTCGTTTGAAAAATACAAAAACATGGATAATGTGGGACAGTGGTATCAATAGTGTATTACATTGCAATTTCCGCATCGAGTAATGATTTGCGTCTTTCGTCCCGATATTGTTACGATGATGGAGAAATTGGCGAGGTGATCGACCATGTGCCCCATGTGCAGCAATCAGCCGCACAAGCTCAGCCTTCTGTGACATCCAAGACATAAGCCGTCATCTAGGTGCAATTCACGGCATGTCACATACACCCATTTCGGAAATGCGGCGGCGGTAGAAGGCAAAGTGATGAAGTATGGTGTTGCCATAGCTTTCTCCACTCGGGCTTCAGCTGCGCCAAACGACGCTATGGAATCGTGCCGGGCCTGGGCGCGTCTTGTGTGATCCAGATGCATGGACTTTCGCCTTCTATGGACGATGATCAACCTAGGTCACAGAGCTTCTTCCTCTACCGACAGCATGAGCTCAATGGCACATACCTTATATTTCAAAACCATTGTCGACGGAAAGACAAGCCGCAAGGTAGCAGAGGAGGTGCACAAGCAAAATGAGTTCTCCTAACATTGAGTCGTGCCTCTTTCCGTGCATCACCTCTTCTACGGGTTCATCGCCCGATGAGACAATTGTGTATTGGGACAAGTTTGAATGGGAGGTCACAATTTCCGACGTCTCGCTGCTGCAGAGCCTGATGCAATCGTGGGCCATTGTGCTAGCCAAGTATACAGACTCTGAGACGCTTCGCTTCGGCGTCTTGTCTGGATCGACGGGCATTCAGACTTGCGATGAGATATCGGTCGAAGAATACGAAGCTTCTGTAGATTCTGCCGGGTACTTGTCAGACGCTGTCTCTCTCATACGCCGGAAGAAATGTCAAATCCATGAATGGAAGTGCAGAGACCGGATCAACACATGCGTCGCGACAGACTTACACCCGGGCTGGCTGAATGACTGGAAAAGTTCTGTAAGTGCTACCGGCGTCAACAGAACTCGCACCTAGAAAACCAAGTCTGACATGTTGTAGTCTAATCATGGAATTCAAGTCTTGCTTGTGGCAACACAGCAAGAATGGCCATGCATCTCCTTGTATGGCAAAGCGGGCCTCGTTGACAGATCTTCTATCCGATATTTGAGCACCGCTCTGCACTATATCCTTGAATCCACCTTGGAGCGTCCGCAAGAGCTGCTGCAGAGCTTTGCTCTGACTCCTGACAATCATTATCGTCAGATCTGTGACTGGAACAAACACATCCTCGAAGAGCCGTTTGCCCAATGTATCCACGACATTTTCCAGGACAAATGCAGCGAAAATCCAGATGCAGAGGCCATAAATGCCTGGGACGGTGCAATGAGTTACGCCTGCCTGGATCAAGAATCAGCCAGGATTATGAACCTTCTGCGTCTACAGGGTGCTGGACCGGAAACAATTGTTCCTTTGGTTTTCGAGAAGAGTAAATGGACTGTTGTTGCTATGCTCGGAGTTCTCAAGGCCGGAGCAGCTTTTGTTTTGCTGGAACCGTCCCATCCTTTGGAGCGTCTACAAAGCATTTGCCAAGACGTCAGGGCTCGAGTTCTCCTTACCTCTGAGCTTCACAAGAGTGTCGGGTTGCAGCTCGCCGACAACGTCATCTCAGTACCCAGTGATACTGAGAACAGAGCCCCATGTCGTGACAAAGTCTCTCCGTCTCAGATTCAGGTTAAGCCAGGTAACGCAGCGTATGTTGCCTTCACTTCCGGGTCCACAGGAAAACCGAAAGGGGTAGTTGTTGAACATGGTTCGTTCTGTACCAATGCGATGGTCAGTTCTGAAGCGCAAAATCTGGACAGGTCCTCCCGCGTGCTTCAATTTGCTTCCTATGCCTTTGATGTCAGCATTCACGAAAGCCTGGTGCCCCTCATGCTTGGAGGATGTGTCTGCATTCCTTCGGCTTCCGATAGAGTCGATTGTCTCGAATACGCCATTCTCCAGCTTCGGGTCAACTGGATGGAGCTGACTCCATCCGTTGCTCGGCTCCTAAGCCCACAGCGAATTCCCGCTGTCAAGACGCTGGTCGTCGGTGGCGAGTCTATTGCGCCCTCGGAGGTCTCCCGTTGGGCGCCATATCTCCGCCTCGCCGTTGCCTATGGCCCTGCGGAATGTACGGTGGTATCGCTCGTGCATCCCAACTTCACCAAGGATGCTGACCCTTTTTCGATCGGTTGGGCCTGTGGGGGTTCAGTCTGGGTCGTCGAACCTGAGGATCACAACAAATTGGTCCCTATTGGTGCTGTGGGCGAATTGGTTATCGGAGGGCCCATTGTGGGCAGGGGATACTTGCATCGACCCGAACAAACGGTCGCTGCCTTCATTCAGAATCCTCATTGGCACAGAACAGAGAACAGCCGGTTCTACAAAACTGGAGACCTGGTGCGTCAAAGGACCGACGGGAGTGTGTCCTTCATAGGTCGCAAAGATACCCAAGTCAAATTGCGAGGTCAACGAATTGAACTCGGGGAAATCGAACACCAGGCTGCCGAATTCTTTCCAGGTGCTGCAGTGGCTGTGGAGGTTGGCAAGCTCTATCATGGACATTCGAGCTTGGTTATGTTTGTGGAGTGGAGTTCATCGAAGGAAGAAAAGAGATACAAGAACAAAGACAGCTGTCGGGCGACTCATAAGGAATGCCATCGATTTTGGCCAAGGGCGCTTCGAGCTAAAACAGGCCTTGCAAAAATACTCCCGTCTTACATGGTCCCGGATTTGATTGTGCCCTTGTGCGTCATTCCTCTCTCCCCCACTGGCAAAGTGGACAGAAAGTCGTTGCGATCGATGATTTCTAGCTTCTCTAAGGAAGAGATCAGAAAATACCAGCCTACAGCGTCTTCCTTATCCTCCAAGGAAAGACATCACGATCCTGCTGCGCCAGAGGCCACCCAACATATGATCAAGATGGTTGCTCGCGTTCTATCGCTCAATGCGAGTGACATTAATGAACACGATAGCTTTTTTCAGCTCGGGGGTGATTCAATATCTGCCATGATCCTCGCGCAAGAGTCCGAGAGTATACCTTCTTTGCAGTTTACTGTCGCGGATATCTTCCAATCCATTGATATCTCTGAGCTAGCAGGACGTGCACATACTATGACACTTGAGAAAACCCCCAAGGAATGCAGTATACCAAACCATACTCTGCCGTTCTCGCTCTTGAGCCCAGGGAAGGTGGACGCCTATATCCAGATTGCAGCGGATCACTGTAATGTGGCTGCATCACAAATTGAGGATATTTATCCATGCTCGCCTCTCCAGGCGCGCCTGATGGCCAGAACTGCCAAGCAGCCGGGCGCTTTCCAAGGGCGTTTCACTTTCAAGTTGTCCCCAGGTCTCGACAAGGACCGGCTACGATGGGCTTGGAACCGTGCGGCAAATTCTCTTCCGATTCTTCGGACGAGGATTATCCACGCATGGCAATTAGGCGCCGAAAGCTTTCTTCAGGTTGTAGTTCGGGACAAGGACATTGAATGGAGCGAGGCAGGAACACGAAGCGAAAGTGAGGTGAAGAGATCCATGTCATTTGGCTCCCCACTGATCTACCTGGTTGCTCTGCGTGCGAAACTTATTCCCACGTTGACTGTCGTCATTCATCATTCGTTGTTCGATCTGGTCGTCTTCCAGCAGATTCTCACGACGGTTGAAACTGCATATCGAGGAGAGGCTCTTCTCTCGCAACCATTCGCACCATTTATCAAGTATCTCGGAGACCTAAATGTGCCTGAAGCATCAGATTTCTGGAAGAGGGAATTTGCCGGCCTCAATGCAGTCCCGCTCCTTTCAAACAAGAACTTTACACGCTCGAAGCATTCGGCTGTCAGCTGGACCCGCAGACGATCTCTTCTCCCCGATTCTAGCCCATTAGGAACCACAACGTCGTTGCTGATTCGCCTAGCGTGGGCAATGGTACTTTCTCAGTATACCGGTACTTTGGACGTTGTCTTCGGCATCACTGTCATGGGCCGCAGCATGCCTGGCACTGTTGACGTGAAGGGCCCTACCATCGCTACTTATCCTCTTCGAGTCACACTCCACGGTGACCGCAGTGTCAGTGAAACATTAAGGTGTATTCACGATCGGGCCATGAGCGTTGCGCCCTTTGAGCAGACTGGGATGCAACGAATCAGACAGTGTGGCCGTGAGGCTGCTATCGCCTGCGAGTTCCAGAGCATGCTGATCGTTCAACCACCATTAGAAAAGACACCTCTGGGCAGGAAGGGTACATCGCAGTTGATGACATTGGATGAGACCGGATCTTGGAAGCACAAGTCGTACACCAGCTTCAGCACTCAAGCCCTGAGTGTCGTCTGTGAGCCTAGCGCTGATCATTTGGAAACGACGGCCTATTTCGACCGAAATATCATAAAGTCGCACCAGGTCACAAATATGTTGAGAAGTATGAATCGTATACTTCGCCTTCTCGTACGATATCCTGATGCCCCCCTGAGGAGGCTTCTCAAGAAATGTTCACCGACATGCGATCTTACCGACAGTCGTCACGAAAGCGTCTCCTTGGCCTGTCTAGAAGAAGCAGCTTCTGGATACCTTGGACCTGGCATTCCAGTGATTGCGGACTGGGTTACGCCCCGGGCATCTCAAGCCCCTAGTCTCGCACTTTTCGTTGGGGTCGTGAGTTTAGATACATTGTCAGATGATTGCTCAGTCCTAACCAAGGTGGAAGAGCCGCTGCGCACTCGATTAATTCAGCTTATGCGTGAGCTACAACAGAGGCTTCTTGGGAAGACTGTGCGTTGTTGTTGTGTTCCCGTTTCCCTTCGGTATAAGCCATCCGTGACTCGTCTCCTTCTTGATCGAGCTAGTGCACTAGAAGCTGCTTCCAAGCTCACCTGGGCAAGCTTAATTTCGTGGCAATCTCCACGGGACTCCATTGCTAGCGAAGACTTGCTCCCCGTCGAGGTAGGATTAAGACACGCATTAGCGACAGTGCTACAGCTGAAGCCCAGAGAGATTGGTGTTGAAATTGATTTGGTTTCCCTTGGGTGCGATTCCCTTGTCGCCATGCAATTCGCTGCCCAGTGCAACCTGGACGGTATCCAGGTGACGGTCGCAGATATCTTCCAGGCCAAGTCGCTCAGATCCCTGGCTCTAATAGTCAAGGGCCGCCCAGCGCAGCATTTTCAATCCACAGCATTAGCAACGTTCTCCTTATTAAAGCCGACGTATGAGAATCAAAAGTCCTTCGAGCAAGACATATTTACGACCGTCGACAGTGGCGGGTTGGGACAAGCGACCGAAGATGCATTTCCGTGCACCCCGTCGCATCTGGGACTTCTTTCTGAATTGGGCAATTGTCAATCACATACGATCTGGGAGGTCGGGGGGCCTGATGAGCGGGTCAATCCTACGCATTTAGCCGAATCTTGGTTGAAGCTCGTTGAGCACCATGCAGCACTGCGGACCCTCTTGCTGCCCAGTCTGTCGAATCCAGCCCAGATATTCCATGTCGTGCTAAAGAAGTCCCTTGATGCCGTCGAGATCTTGACCGACCTCGATGATTCCAGTATACAGGAGATTGCAAGGCGGCCTCGTCTATCGAGCTGCAATAACAAAGGACTTCCATACAAGTTCACAGTCTTCCAGAGCACAAGCGGAAGGGTTCTCTGCAAGCTAGAGGGGAGGTATGCCTTCCTTGATGCAACCTCGGTCATTATCCTCTTGACAGATCTTCGAAGGTCTTTAGAGGGCATAACGCTATCGGATTCAACTGTCAGTTCCTACTCTTCATGGGTATCGTTTCAGCAAAGTTGGGCTAAGGACCCCTCGCATCTGTATTTCTGGGATCAGTATCTGGCTAATCTTCACCCTTGTATCTTGGCTGGTGCGGTTGCGCATGACCGCAGCGCGATGCTCCCACGCAGCCACAATCATGAGAGGAAGGTTGCTGAGAACAGATGTCGTGGACAGATGCGATCCCACCACCAAACACTTCTTCAAGACACCCGCGCCCTGCGCGAATGGTGCGACCAAAGGGAAGTAACAATCACCAACGTGATACAGAGTGCTTGGGCGCTTGTGCTCAGCGAACAAACGGGCCGGGACGACGTCTGCTTTGGAGCTCTAGTCTCCGGCCGAGATGCACCCATACCTCACATCGGAAACATGCTGGGCTCGTTCTTCAACGTCCTTGCCTGTCGGATCACGGTGCAATCAGGCCTCGACCATTGTGTTCTTAACCATGTCCTGCAGGCTAATCGCCGCTCAATGGGAGAGCGGGCGTCCCACCAATTCTGTTCTTTGAGCGAAGTCACACGTCGGATCTTTGGCGGAAAGGAGTCCGGAGCACCCTCGTCCCTGTTCAACACCTGCCTATCGGTTGAGCAGCCGCTTACCGACCAGACCGGGCCAATGGATGGGTACTTCAGGGTGCTGGAAACAGTTGAAGAGACTGAGGTAAGAATATCCCACACCCTTGTCCAAGTCGAGCTGCGTCTTTCGCAATTGGATTCAGCTTTGCTAACATCATTTTGGGTGCCAGTATGACATGGTAGTCGCCGCCACAGTGCTGTCTGACCGGATTGACGCTCAGTTGATGTTCTGGGATAGCTTTTGCGATGCCTCTCGTGCTGCGGACCTTGGACAGGTCTTGGCTCGGGCAGTTGAGAGGATTATGGTTTGTGCTTCAGATTTGAGTAAATAACAATCGGTTAGAGTGTTATGTTGTGGTCACCTTGGGGGTGAATTTTTTGGTTTTTGATTTTTTGGCTATGATGAGCTAGTATGTATATTCAGTGCGTTGTACCGGGGTCCTGAGATTCTCGTGTTTGATGTTGAGATGGTAGTTGAAATTTCACGCATAGTTCTAACATCCAAGGCTGTTCAGCTCTTTCCTTTCTATATGTACCTACTGGCCGAAAGAATTTGGTCAAATCACAAGACATTGTCTGGTTTGACATTTGTTCTTTGTGATGATTTTAGTACCTGCGCACAGTCACTCCTCGACAAAAAAGGCGGTCGATCGGGCGGAGATCCATTAAAAAAGTGGTGGCTGATTCTGCCTGGCAGAACCCTGGCCCCTACAGTGGGCTGCTCGTGCCACTCTCATCGCCGCAAAGGAAAACAGAATGAAGCGTCAGCGTAACCAGATGGGCTGCGATCAATGCTATGCGCTAGGTGCTGAGGTCTGCTTAAAACTGCTGATAGCTACCAGAAACCTGAGCTGACCAAGCTTGCTGTCGCAGTGTGCTCAATGCCATATCGGCACCTCGTCAACAACGCGAAATAAGCGAGTCGCACGCGTCAGGGACATTGATGCGTCAAGAGACGGCTCGTCGCAAGAGCTGACAGTACCCCAAACACAGGACCATCCACAAGATGACCGTTCTAGCTATCATCGAACGTTGCGGGACTATGAAGCATTAGTCAATGGCCTTCGATCCAGGCTAGACAACAGCGTGCAAGCCGTTCTGGATGCTAGCGTCCAGATCATCCGCAACAATGCAACCTCCGAACCTGAGGCGAGGGAGCCAAACCCAATTTTTGAGAATCACTTACCTCGGATGCGAGAATTACAAGTTCATGACGATGAGGACGGGTATATGAAGCTCTTCCTGGAGACCATCCATATCCTTTATCCCTTCATTCCCGAACGTCTACTTTTAAGCAAGTTTGAGCAATTCCGAACGGGGAGCAACACCGAGGAGCATCGTCACCTCTGGGCCGCGATATTCCGAATGTCTTCCATCTAACCCTGTCGTTAGCTTTCACAATCCGCGGGCAATCCCATCTTACCCCGCGTAAGATTTCATCTACGCGATCGGCTCTTTCTACACGACGCTGCCTCATATGCGGGGCACTGCTAACAAGAACCATTCTCGGTACTTTGAAAAAGGAATTTGCGACATTGATAGAAATGATACGGGGGACTCCCTTGTCCTCATTTGGGCCCGGCTTGTGGAATGCTTTTATTTTCAGGCTGTGGGTAACTATAACAGGTAAGTCTGGTTTTCCACCTACGAGAAACATAGTTAAAGTTGTTCGTCCGCATGTAGATGCCTGAGCACTCTTGAATCTCTTCGAACATCTGCACAGGTCCTTGGCCTACACGAGGCGCATACCTACCATCATCCCTTCAGTCTACAGGATGATGACCGCTCACGTACTTGGTTCTCTTTGTATATCTTTTCCAGTCTACTCGCGCTTCAGCTCGGCCGACCGACCCCTATCAAGCCCGCCCCTCATCAAGACACGATGCTTCCGAAGAATGATGATAGTATCGCATCCTGTTCTTGCTCTGATGAAGAAGGTGACGATGACTCTACAAACGAGGATGCTATTAGCCATATGGAGTACTTTGTCCGTATGATTCGTTTCTGCAATATAGCATCTCGTGTCACCAGCTTCGAGTCGCCCTGAAGCAAAGCGTCCATGGAACAATGTTGATCGTCCTTGAGTCTCTGGAGCACGACTTGATGGAGTGGGAACACGACATACCATGGAATTTCTGCATGCGCGGCCGATTCGGACCACCAGCGACGAAACAGTCGTTGATGACCGTTCGACAGGTGTGTTCATGCCTATTCTATTGCCATCCGAGCCATTCTGCCGACGTAGCCCCTCACAGCGCAGGATGCTCGGCCTCAGCCGTTTTCACCTCAGTTCATTGATGTACAGGCCCTTCGTTGGCTCAGAATTGACGTCCGTGCGCGAACGGGAATTCTGTTTTCGCATGTCTGAGATGCACGCTCAGGACATGATGGCCCTATTCAAAGAGCCTCATCGCAGCGGGCGTCATATTTTGAATGAGTTTCCCTGGTGGCAGATGACGCCGTATTTGATCCACGCCAGCTCTTTGTTCTTTGTCTCGGGGATATACCCCCGGTAGATTGGTGTCACCTTTGTTCAAGGGAACAGACCACGACCGGAGGAGGCGCGAGCAAGTGCCGAAGAGTGCCTGGAGCTCTTGGAGGGCCTGCAGGTGGGGCAGGTGGGCTCTGCTGAGGTAAAAAGAGCAGCCAGGCTACTGAGAGGGCTATCGGCTAAGTATAGTCGGACTGGGCGAATTGAACCTGCGTCATCTTCCAGGAGAGACGTTGTCGCTGTGGGTGCCTCTGATGAATGGTCCCCTGAGTTCTCGAGCGCATGGCCTGGATCATGCATTTCTACGCTCCTTCTCCTATCCCAACAAGATCAACAGTACCGAATAGTTCCGATATTCAGATCGCGTAGTCAGACGAGACCCATTCCTGAGATCGACGGTTCAGGTATCTTCTTCGACTAGGAGGAGCTTCCAAGGAAAGTGCAGCAGCTCGGATCAAGCAATGTTCAATACATGAAGTTGGATTGTTCCGGTCAAGGAAACGGGATATGCTTTGTTGGTAGGTATAACTCTTCTATCTGTCGGCGAACTTCACGAAGGGACTGTACATAACATTCGCACAAGATCGAAGAAAAGACTGTTTACTTTAGGTGAGATCCATTAGAGCTAATTCAACCAAACAAACCTCACACTCTAGAACTTGGCTCTCAAAACCCACCCTGTCTGTAGGATCCTCGTTACCAAAACCAGCATCGTTCCCGCCAGCAAGAGCAAGCTCGAAAAGATTTTCATTCCCGTGTAGGACCCATTGTCGTGCGCCAAAATCGCCCCCGCGATCGGGTTCGTCGTCAACCCCCCAATCGAGGAGAAGAGGTAGAGCACGCCGGTCCAGTACCCGATTTCCGGGAGAGGAGCCAGTTTCGCGACGAGGGCCGGCGGAAGCGAGAAGTACGCGCCAGACGTGACGCCGTACAGCACCGCGAAGGCGATATTTGCCGCGTCGGTCGTGGCCGGGATCCAGAGCCCGAGGATCAGAATCCCGGTGATGGTGCAGACGAGAAGGAAGATATTGTAAACGCCGACTTTATCGGAGAGGAAACCCGCAGCCATGCGGCCGAGGAGGCTGTTTCGTCGGCTATTAGCGTCTTCTTTCTCCTGCTGCTGTGGCGAGAGGATGGGACGGTGATACATACCTCCCCGCATTCAACATGGGCACGACATACTGCGCCAGCTCCAGCCTCATCCCGCTCTCTATCGCAGCCGTCTCCACGAAGTTGGTGGGGATATACACCCCGAACGTGAGCAACACGAACCCCGCCACGAGAAAGCGCATCTTGACCTCCCGCCAGGGACGCAACACCGCCTCGCGATCCATCTTCTTCTTCTTCTTCTTCTTCTCACCACCATTCCTCCTCCCCCTTCCCGCACCCCGATCCCTAATCGTCAAACACATCACCCCCAACAACCCCATAATCACGAACGCCGCCACCCGCATCGCCCACCCAAACCCCACCTGCACGACCAGCCTGCGCGTCATGATCGGAAACACGATCCCCCCGACACTCGACCCCGACGCAATGATCCCGTACGCGGCGCCCCGCCGCCGCCGGAACCAGCTAGGGATCACGCTCATGGCCGGCTGGAAGATGGCGCAGATGCCCATAGCGCTGCACACGCCCTGCGCCAGCAGGATCTGGTAGTACTGGGTCGCGAGGGAGGTCATCAGGAGGCCGATGATGTGCAGGGCGGAGCCCGTGAGGAGGACGGGGCGGGTGCCGTGCGTGTCGCTCAGGTAGCCGACTATTGGGCCCTGTGGGGGGGTTGGGTTGTGGTTAGTGGGTGTTGATTCGTTGGAGGGCTGAGGTTGGGTAAGGTAGACTGGCTGGATTCGGAGGCAAAGGGAAGGGGAAACGAGACGAACCATGAAGAACATGAAGAATACTTCTAGGGAAGGGATCCAGGCGATCGTGCTCGGTGCGTATTGGGGGAGGAGGGTGGTCGCGTAGTAGGTTTGGAAGGTTCCTATGCCTTTCTGGCTGTCAGTGGCTCTGGTGTCGCTGTGGTTCTGGGTCGACAAGTGTGCTTGTGTATGCTGGGATAGTGTGTGGGTGGAGGTGCATGGCAGGCAGGCATACTATTGATCCAGCCGAAGCTGCAGAACATGGCGCACCATGCCCCGAAGACGACGGACCATGCAGCGAGGCCGCCGTCCGGGGGCGAGTCGTCGATGCATTGTGAAGTGGACTGTGCTTGCGCGTTTTGCTTCTCTGCGTTGAAGAGGGTTGGCACTGGTGGGTTGGGTGGAGTGGGAAGTCGTTTGGTGGCGGTGTTGGTAGTAGTTGGGTCCGGCTGCTCCGTTGCTGAGTTGGTCCGCGCCCGGGACATGGTGCGCTTATCAGCCCCCTTGGAGAGCGAAGTCGATTGAGCTGCTCCAGAAGCCTGCCTTACGAGGGAACAGCCCATGATGGTATAAATATGAATAGGAGGTGGGAATATTTCTGAACTACTACCGGATCCTACATCATCCCCCCCCCTTGCATGCCCAGGTATGTGGTTCGCCGGCAGACATGTCGACGGGTAAATCCTCCGACATCCCAATGTATTGTGGATTGGAATCCACAATTTATTGACAGTAGTGCCATAAATCATCCAGAGCATAGAGGAATGGATCTGCTCAAGCGAGGAGTCGTGATTTAGTGGCTGGATATGCGGCTTTAATATTCATCAAAGTAGGATTGAACAGAAGTGGGAATCTAACGGGTTGAAAACAGGGAATCAAAAGAATGCAGATCAACACATCATTCCGAGCAGCAAAAGCGATCATCATCGTAATCATGATCCCCCGAACGCCATGTCGTTAAGAGTAAAAAAAAAAGCCATAAAGGCTGCCCCGGCCGCAGCAAGCTCAGCAGCACCGCTCAAGCAACACGTCCAACCTTTAATTTTCTCTTGCACCACGCCCGAACCGACTGTCGCGGGGGCTCGCGTGGCTCCGTACTGACGGCCGGGATTGGAGATTGGGGTGCTCCGGGGCTGGGTCCCACGACCAGCAGGTATCGCGGTAGAGGAGTGACGGTCGCCCAGCTACTATGGACGACAACGGGAACATGGCTTGTGGAGGTCTTGCAGGGTCGGCGCAGGTGCTCGAATGTGCGTCGGCAGATTGGACAGCTTGGGTTTGGCCGCTTCAGCCAGTCGTCGATGCATGGTTGGTGGAAGAAGTGCTGGCAGGGTAATTGGCGGTACGATTTGATGGAATCGAGGTCTTCGAGGCAGATGATGCATTCTTGGTTGTCTTCTTTGCTGGTTAGCGAGGGGCCCGGTGGTTGCGGAGGTAGCAGGCGCACGTACCTTCTAGCGAGGTGGGGAGGCTATGGACGATAGGCAGTTGGTGGAGGTCTATCTCGTATTGCATGGCGGACGGCTTGCCTTGTGCCATTCTGGAGGTTAATGCACAGTGTGCGCAGGTCTCTGAAATTGACTCTGAAGAGAATGTTACTTTACAAGTCAGGCGGAGTCAGGGAGAAGGAGAAAAAAAAAGTAGCGCTTGTTGACATTGAGCAGCGATGATGTGGGGTGCCCCTGGCCGTGATGTCATATGCTCATAAGGCTGAAATGACTTAATCCTCCAAAACAGGCTTTGGTGGAGCCCGCGGGCTGGGCTGTGCAGTGCCGTGGTTGGCGGATGCCCCTGCAGGCTTGACGCGGCACATGGGAAATGACGGCTGTGACACAATCTGCGTAATTCAGATGCCGAAGTCGTCGGCTTGCATCGGGTCTGGCCATTATGAATAGGGAAGCGCTGCAGCAAGCGGTGAGCAAGCTCTTTGTTCTTGATCGGTTGAACTAAGTATGATTTGTTCTTATACTGTGGTCGTCATATAGTGGAAGGCTTCGTCTATATATTTCGGTTCGAGTGTCTCAGCTGTGCCAAGATGGGCGACCGTGGCTCGTCAGTAACCAAGTTGTGACATCGTCCCAAGCGTCCTCAAATCATACTGCTGGAGCGCAAACTATATCCAGGCCGTTCAGAAACCGTGGTTAAGACTCTTGTCATAGGGACTCCTTGCGATGATGCGCAACAACTATTCCGTCGGTGTCGCCCTGCCTTTGAGCTTCCGATATACAACATGTATCTTCCGGACTTCGAAGAGGCTCGTTTGGTTGTCCAGCTCGAGTGCCCCGCTAACGGTATCGTCGGCTTTTGGAGTCGCTGTGTTGCATCTCTCAGGTTCGGCCGACCGGCATGGTCTCGCATGGTTTTCCACGAACCGTGGTCGATGAAACGCTCATCTTCGAGGAGGAGAATTGTGCCGTTATCCACTGGGGTCTGAAATAAGTCTGATGACTGGATAATTTCAGTGAGCAACACTGAGCCGGTAAGGGAAACCGAAAAGAAGCGAGAGTAGTCGAGGTGTGCGTTGTAGAACACACCTGCAGGTATTACCCATTCGCATCCTTCCAAGGTAAAGCCACGGCTTCTATGCCGTCAAGCTCAATGTACTCAGAGTGCTCCGCATGGGAGAAGAAGAGGCCTGTTCAGTTCAAGATGTTCTGGAAGGCGTGTTGGTGGGAAGGGGAGCATCAGCATGTGACCGAAAGTCAAGTGACCGGCTCAAGATGGAAGGTCAAACACTCAGCCTGAGGTGCGTACTTTCGCTACCACTTGAAAAGTCCCTCAGTCTTTTCTCTCTCCTTAATCACGATGTCCTTCTTTTCTTTCCTGTATTGAGCATCTCCGCATGATAGGACTTTTCGTCAGCCTTCTGTCTTCCTTTGGACAACCCCCCTGCATCTATCACGTTGGCCAAGGTACTCGGACTGTGAATTTAGCGGTCAAGAGTGGTCGCTCAATGGAGCCCCCCAGAAAATTGACCAATCTGCCCGTGATCGAGCTGTTAGTCCTTTATTATGCAATTGTCGGAGCCCGTTATGCTTTTTGGCGCTAATGAGTGTGCGTTGTCCTGCCTAGGCGCCCGAGTAATGGTCCGTGACCCTCTGCTTTGTCTGTGCGGGAGACTCTGTCATCGACCGCTTTTCGAACATCGCAGATTGTTCGAGTAGAA